GACATCAGGCCCCCGAAACCTTCGAAATTTCTAAAAAGGCGTGGATATTAGCTTTCAATTTTGGAAAATTTTGACTTTTTTTTCGCGTGGAAATAAAAATTGTTGAAATGTTTACCATGGTCCCTAATACCCTCCGGAAGTCCAATTGGGTGGGTAGAACCATCCAATTCGTCTTTAAACGGCTAATTTAGCAATTTATAATTTGCACCGATTTCATTAACTTAAACCTACCACGAACATTTATGACAACATATAATGATCATATTTGGTTCCAAACGACATTATATGACCCCGAGATGTATCTTTTAAAATCTCAAGTCTTTTCGACACCGGGCCCCGAAACCTTAAAAATTTCTCTAAAAGCGTGGATATTAGCCTTAAATTTTGTAATTTTTACACTTATTTTCGCTCGGAAATAAAAATTGCCGAAATGTTTACCATGGTCCCTAATACCCCGCGGGAGTCCAATTAGGTGTGTTGAACTATCCAATTTGCCTTTAAACGACCAATTTACCGAATTACAACTTGCCTTGATTTCATTAACTCAAGCCAACCACGAACAGTTATGACAACATATACTTATTATAAATGGTTCAAAACGGCATTATATGACCCCGAGATGTATCCCCTAGAAATTCAAGACTTTTCGACACCGGTACCGAAATCTCTAAAATTTCGCAAAATGCGTGGATTCAATTGTGGAATTTTTTTATTTTCTCCGCCAGGAAATAAAAATTGCTGAAATGTTTACAATGGTCTCTAATATTCTCTGAGAGTCCAATTGGGTGGGTGGAACCATCCAATATGCCTTTAAACGGCCAATTTACCGGTTTACAACTTGCACCGATTTCATTAACTCAATCTTACCACGAAAATTTATGACAACATAAAATGATTATACTTCCTCCGTTTTTTTATTATTGCACCATAAGGGTTGGGTACAAATATTTTGGTAGTTGAAAAAAGTAAGAGAGAAAAAGGTAAAAATACAAAATTGCCTATGTGACATATTGATAAATTAAAAAGTAAGTGTGAAAAAGCAAGGGTATGTTTGGTATTTGTAATGTGAACACAAACAAATTTTTTCCTAAAAAAGAAATGGTGCAATATTTGTGAAACTTCCTAAAAAGGCAAGTGGTGCAATAATAAAAGAACGGAGGAAGTATATGATTCCAAACGGCATTTTATGACCCCGAGATGTATCCCTTAATTTTTCAAGGCTTTTCGACACCGGGCCTCGAAACCTCCAAAATTTCTCATAAATCGTGGACATTAGCCTTCAATTTTTGAATTGTTTTACTTTATTTCGCCCGAAAATAATAATTGCCGAAATGTTTACCATGGTCTTTAATACCCTTCGGGAGTCCAATTTGGTGGGTGAAATCATCCAATTTGCCTTTGAACGACCAATTTACCGGTTTACAACTTCCACCGATTTCATTAACTCAAGGCTACCATTAATATCTATGACAACATATAATGGTCATATATGGTTTCAAACGACATTATATGACTCCAAGATGTATTCTTTAAAATCTCAAGACTTAGCGACATCTCCAATATTTCTCAAAAAGCGTGGATATTAGCCTTCAATTTTGGAAATTTTTTACTTCTTTTTGCCCGAAAATAAAAATTGTCGAAATGTTACCATGGTCCTTAATACCCTCCATTAGTCCAATTGGATGGGTGGAATTATCCAATTTTACCGGTGTACAACTTGCACCGATTTCATTAACTTAAGCCTAGCACGAACATTTATGACAACATATAATGATCATATATGGTTCCAAACGGCATTATATGACCCCCGAGATGTATCCCCTAAAATCTCAATGCTTTTCGACACCGGGCCCGAAAAATTCGAAATTTCTCAAAAAGAGTAGATTTATTAGCCTTCAATTTTGGAATTTTTTGACTTTTTTAAACCCAGATATAGAAATTGCCAAAATGTTTACCATGGTCCTAATACCCTTAGGGAATCCAATTGGGTGGGTGAAACCATCCAATTTGCCTTTAAACGACCAATTTACCGGTTTACAACTTGTACCGATTTCATTAATTCAAGCCTACCACGAACGACAACAAATAATGATCATATATGGTTCCAAACGGCATTATATGACTCTGAGATATATCCCCTATAATTTCAAGACTTTTCGACACCGGGCTTGAAACCTCCTAATTTTCTCAAAAAGCGTGGATATTAGTCTTCAATTTTGGAATTTTTTGACTTTTTTTCGCCCGCAAATAAAAATTGCCGAATTGTTTACCATGGTCCCTAATACTCTTTGAGAGTCAAATTAGGTTGGTTGAACCATCCATTTTGCCTTCAAACGGAAAAATTACCGGTGTACAACTTGCACGGGTTTCATTAGCTCAAGCCTTCTACGACCATTTATAACAACGTATAATGATCATATATGGTTCCAAACGGCATTATATGATCCCGAGATGTATCCCCTAAAATATCAAGACTTTTCTACACCAGGCTCCAAAACCTCCAAAAAATTTCAAAAAGCGTGGATATTAGCCTTCAATTTTGGAAATTTTTGACTTTTTTTCGCCTGGAAGTAAAAATTGCCGAAATGTTTATCATGGTCCCTAATATCCTCCAGGAGTACAATTGGGTGGGTGGAACCATCCACTTTGCCTTTAAACGAACAATTTACCGGTTTACAACTTGTACCAATTTCATTAATTTAATCCTACCACGAACATTTATGTCAACAAATAATGATCATATATTGTTCCGAACGGCATTAAGTGACCTCGAGATGTATCCCATAGAATTTCAAGACTTTTCGACACTGGGCCCCGAAACTTCTAAAATTTCTAAAAAAGCGTGGATATTAGCCTTTAATTTTGGAAAATTTGACTTTTTTACGCCGGAAATAATAATTGCTGAAATGTTTACCATGATCCCTAATACCCTCCGGGTGTCCAATTGGGTGTGTGGAACCTTTCAATTTGTTTTTAAACGGCCAATTTACCGATTTACAACTTGCACCGATTTACCGGTTTACAACGACCAATTTAATTAACTTGCACTGGACCCGAGTTGCACCGAAATTTACCCAAACCTGTTTTAACCCAAATTTAAATTGACTTTTTACTAACCTGAAGCTAACCCGACCCGTTCCTAACCCGACCGGAATTTAACCTAACCTGTTATAAACCTGACCCAAAATCAACCCGACTTGTTATTGACCTGACCAAAATTCAACCCAACTTGTTATTGACCCGACTCGAATTTTACCAGACCTATTACTTACCCAACCCAAAAATTAAACTCGATCTGTTACTAACCCGTCTCGAAATTAACACGACTTGTTATTGACCCGACCTAAATTCAACCCAAATTATTCCCGACTTGATTTTAAATCACCTTAAATGCAATTTAGATCACCTTATTATTGTTGATCAAAGCATTTTGTCTAGGGAGACCAAGTCGGTCCAGGCAACAAAAGAAAGGAGCATCATCCTCAAATTTAAGAGTTAAATATAGTATATATTTGTTGTATGGTCAAAGGAGATAATTATATTCCTAAATTATAGACTATAGTTTCCTAGTATATTGTCATTTATATTATAGTCAAAGGAAATAATTAGCTTGATAAAAATGACAATTATCTATTTATATTTAGTAGAACCTGAATATGACCCGACCTGATTGTAACCTGCAAATTATTGAGTTGAACATAACCCGACTTGAATCCGAGAATGACCCGACTTGAAATTGACCCAACCTGATTATAACCCGCAAATTATTGACTTGAACCGAATTCGACTTGAACCCGAGATTGACCCAACTTGAAAATAACCCGACCTGATTTTAATCCGCAAATTATTGACTTGAACCAAACTCGACTCAAACTTGAGAATGACAAGACCTGATTATAAACCGCAAATTATTGACTTGAACCGAACCCGACTCGAACCCGAGAATTTTCCTAACTCTTTTTTAACCCGTGATAACCCGAATTAAACCCAACCTATTGTTCACCCGACTCGATTGTAACCCGACTTGTTATTAACCCGACCTAAACCTGACCCAAACCCGATAAGAAGTATGACCTGATGTGACCCGACTCAAGCATTACCCAACCCAAACCCGACCCACATAGGTTATAGAATTAATCCGAATTGACCCGACCAGAGTTGACTCGACCCACTCTTACCCGACCCGTTTACCCGAATTGACAGCTCTAATAAAGATGTCTATAAAATACCAAGAATGAGTTTTTTGACTCTATCTTGAAATATAATGATGTCACATGAGTGTAATAATATGATGTGACTTGACTATAATGATGTCATATAAATATAATGATGTCATAAAAGTATATTGAAGTGATGTGACTTGACTATAATGATATGTAATTTTATTTATAATGATGTGATGTCCTAATATGATGTGACTTGACAATAGTGATTTCATAAAAGTATAATTGTGTTATATAAGTGATGTCAATATAGGTAAAATGATGTCATATAACAATAATAGTGACGTGATTTGACAATAGTAATAGAAATGAATACATGATATGATATGATGATTGATTTGACAATAGTAACTATGGATGATCATATTACCCATGTGTGTTAATTGATATGATGTGATGGGTTGATTGATAAATTTGGACAAACTACTCATGTTTTGTGATGTGCCACCGATGTAAGTCTCATATCTTACTTCATGTAAACAATCAATTAACTCATTTCATCATCAGATCATCACCAACAACACAAACGGTCCCCCCATCATGGGGTCAATCACCACATTCTCGGTCCCGGTCCCGAACCTTGAATAAAAGCATAATAAGGGTATTATGGGATGTAACAAGTGTCAAAAACCCATCCCCCAATTATTCCCAACGTTTTCCCCATTTTATGGACTGTTTCAGCAAATTTCCTATAAGCATGCTTTTAATCGAATTTCGCATAAGATGTGTATCATCAATTGAGGTGTTGAGAATCTGAGTTAACTGTTATGTGAACAGGTTTTCTTTCTTGGTGCTGTGGCTAAACTCGGTGCAACTGTTACAACATATCCGTTGCTGGTAGTCAAGGTATTTTGGTTGCTGATATATTAAAGATTTTGCTAAATGCTTGTGACAAAATAAAAGCCACTAAATTGCAGTAGTCTATTTCTCTAGTCACCCTGTTTATGCTTGTGTGTGTGTGTGGGATTCAAGGCATAAACAATCGGGCTGTTTATCTGGCACTGCCATGATGTAGGTAATTTGTGACCTGGATATGCTATCAACTGCTGCAACACCCTCCTTGAGATCTGCCTTTGCTACCAACTGCCTGGGAATCATCCCATGACATGATTCCTGCTATATAAAAAATTTATAACTATTTATAATTTTATAATGGGTTAAAAGTCCATGTTGTTTGTGAACAGTCATGTGCTATGTTGTGATTCTTCAACATGATATGTACATTATGTTTAATTGAAGAATATTTTTTCACATCATCTTAAAGGCTTTTGAAATATTAACTAACTGTGGAATTTGGAATAATTTTGCAGTCAAGACTACAGGCAAAACAAGATATTGGCAGTAATGTCTCACTAAGATACTCAGGTGCGTCTGAAATGCATACTATCTTTAAGGCTTCACGTAGAATGCTTGATATTGTCAATCGTGTGACATTTCATTTCTTATACAATTGTACACCTTTAGGTTGTTGTCTGCTTCATGCAAATTTGCAAGTTTACTCATTTACCTCGATTTTCTAAGGCACCCGATGCATTATACTTCTTACATTATTCCACTCCAAATTCTGATTGATGTCAGGACCACAGTATCATCTGGTCTTCAAACTTTAATCTAATGTCTTCAACTTCTGACATGCTTATTTCTCCACTATAGATTATAAGACACTTATTCTGGTGGTGTTCTTCAAATTCTTTGCTCAACAGGTACACTGGATGCAATTGTAAAAATGATCCGGTATGAAGGATTACTGGGATTTTATAAAGGGATGAGCACGAAGATTGTGCAGAGTGTTTTCGCTGCCTCTGTACTTTTCACGGTGAAGGAAGAGCTTGTCAAGGCTTTTACGATTCTAACATATAAGAGCCGCAAGATCAGACTCAATGCACTAAGATGATTCCACTGGCAATGGCATTGCAATGAAACTTTTTTTTTTTTTTTTTTTTTTTTTTTTTTTTTATCCCTGGACATCAGAACTCTTTGAAACTTGAAAATAGGAAATTAATATTGATGTACATAATTTTTAAATTTGAAATTATTTGGAAAAAATGATGGAAAATGAAGAAATTTGTCAGGTTATTTTTATTTAAGCATATAGACAGAAAAGTATCATTCTTCACGTGTCTCTACAATGATTTTATCAATTTATTATGCACTCTTTCCCACACACACACACAAAAAAAAAAAAAAAAAAAAAAAAAAAAAAAAAAAAAAAAAAAAAAAAAAAAAAACAGTTCATCATACAACTAGTCATTACTTTGGTGATATCACACTAGAAAATAATGCATAATATATATATATATATATTCCACTTGAAAAATGTTGATCATAATTTTTGGTTTAGTTGCTTGTTGATAGGCAATAGCAACTTAGCAAGCAAATAATCCGATATACTGGAGTGAAATATAGAGTGAAGCATTATTTTCCGACCATAGTAAGATTAAAAATATTTTAATTTGTGTCCGTATTCTATTTATTTGAATTTACATGCAAGCTTAATTGATAAGTTAGTAATTTTAAAGTTTGCAGATTATGCTTTTACAACATTAAAAGCATGATAAAAGGACATGTAAGTATGATAAGAACATTAAACCAAAACGCATCATGATTTGACTTGAATTTGAGTTTGATTCAAAGCTTAACAAAATAGTTAGCAAGGTCTAGTATGTACTCCGTAATAGAATTAAAACTAGTTAATGCTCGAGCCATGCTCGGATTTTTCATGTAATATATGGTTAAATTTTCTTTATGCATAATATAGAAAATTAATTTTGTTTGATGATTTTTTTTTAGATGTATGATGATTTAATTAGTATCAAAATTAACAAACCTTTCATCTATTATTCGGTCAAAATTGAATATGGGATCTTAAATAATAATATTTTTTTTAAATAAAATAAAATTACCAACAAAAAAAAAAAACACAACAACAAAAAAAAACTCCTAAGTTTTTGGGTGGGAAAATATTTTATGAGGAGTTGACACATATAATCCTTGGGATATTTTTGGTGATTATTTTAGTACAGAATATAGATAAGCAAAATAATAACTTGTGTGAAAAAATATAATATACGAGTAACATTTTATTTTATGTAAGTATAAACTTATTTAAAGCAATAGAATACATATCATTACTTCATTAGTAATTTGTGTTTTATAATACTCTCTCCGTCTCTTTATTAGATTTCTATTTATAGCATTTATACCTCACATAATGAAAGAAATCTAATTAAGGGATAGAGGGAGTACTAGGTATGGTATACATTGTTTACACTAAGGGCATGTTCACTTCCGTTGAAATTCAGTTCAGTTCAACTCTTAATTTACGTCTAATGATATTGCTAATGATATAAAGCCAAATTTCATTCTTTTAAGCTCTTATTATAACGACGACGACAACAACAACAACAACAACAACAACAACAACAACAACAATAATAGTAATAATAATAATAATAATAATAATAATAATAATCAATAAGTAATAAATAATAATAATAATAATAATAATAATAATCATCAATAAATAATAATAATAATAATAATAACAATAATAATTGAAATAATGATACTAATAATAATAATAATAAATAAATAATAATAATAATCATCAATAAATAATAATAATAATAATAACAATAATAATAACATCAATAATAATAATAATAATAATAATCAATAAATAATAATAATATTAATAATCAATAATTAATAATAATAATAATAATAATAATATTGTATAGTAATAAATAATCAATAAATAATCAAAGATCATTAAAAATCACTAATTAATAAGTTCAGTTCAGTTCAGTTCAGTTCAGCAGAGTTCAGTCAATTGGAACAGGCCCTAACTAGCCTTCTAGCCCGTGCAATGCACAATTTATTCATAGAATATTTGCATTGAAATATGAATTAGAAAATATCAATAAGTCATTATGGTTATGATGTGTAAATGAAAACATGATTTAAAAAATTAAAATTTTGGAATTTTAATTAAAAATGAGGATTAAATAAAGAAGGTGGAGGGACTAAAATTAAAGAGAGAAAAACAAAAGGTTGAATTGAAAAGGGGAGATGAAGATGAAGTGGGCATGGAAGATGAAATATAAGTTTAATGAAAGAATTAAAGAAAAATAGTGTAATAAAAATTAATAATGTAAGAAGACATGTGGCACTTGAGTTAGAGAATAAGATATTGAAATGTAATAGGATGGAGACATGTGTTTTACTTGATTAGAGTTTTTATATACTAAGTATAGATTAAAGATCATTAATTTAGAGCCACATTTGAATGTTGATTTAATTTGAGTCCAATTAAAATTAAAATTAAAATTCAAATTAAAAATTAATCCGAAAATTTTGAAATCAAGGAAGAAAATTGTGATTTTGAAGGTTATGAAGTTACAAAAATACCCCCAACCCCCAAAAAAGAGAGATAGAAAGAGAAAACCCCATTAAGCTGAAAGTGAGTTCATCCCAAAAACCCCTGAAAAATGTCCTCCTGTCAACTGTGAACTGTGAAGTTCCTCTCTAATCTCATCCTATGCATTAGAATTACAGCAAGATGATGATGACAATTACCAATAATTTCTGCAAAAATTTTGATTTTATTTTCTTCAACAATACCCATTTTTTAATTTCCTCTAAAAACCCCATTAAATCTTCTTCTTCATCTTCTAAGTTGAGAATTTCTTCAAAATCTCCCAATTTTTGCTCCATTAATTCCTTCCTTCGTCTCTCTAATCCCAGAAAAACCCTTAAATTTAAAACCCATTGCAATTCCAACTCCAATTTAACAACAACTGGAGATAATAAGCAAGCAGATGAAGTTGAAGAAGATGACACTGAGGCATTTCAGCTTTTTCAGGTCTTTTCCACTCGATTTTTCTATCAATTTCATATCTTTTATTAAGTTCCTTATTATTATTGTAACAATTATAATTTTTTTTTATGTGGGGTTTTTATTTTTTTCATATTTTAGTGTCAATTACTGAAATATTTGTAAAAATGAGTATGATTTTAATTATTATTGCCATTAGTTGGGCAGAACGGTTAAATAAGAGAAATGGGTTCTGGTTTATTTTCAAGAATATTGCTGAAATGTAGTTGAATTAACATTTAGAATTGATGATGATGGTGAAATTAGTGATTAATTTTTTTTGTTTGTTTATGTTTGTTGGAAGAATAGTTTTTTTTATTTATTTTTTAATAGCATGGTTATTGTAGGGAGCTGATGAAATGCTTAATTGTTCGAAATTGGTGAAGTACTGCATTCAAAATGCTTAATTGGATGCTTATTGGCTTAGTGAAGAAGACCTGTTAGTTTCTGAGAGTGATATTCATGTTGCATAGTCAGATGTTTAAGGATTAATCGAACCTTGAGGGGAGCTATTTAATGGAATTTTAGTTTAGTATGCTATCGTGTTCTTGGAGAGACTGGGATATTATTTTGAAGTAGCAAACAGGATGTTCATGATACAACTGATTGAAAACTCGTGAGCAAATTCAAAGAATAAATTCTAAAAATGGGTTATAACATGAGTAATATTATTATATTAGCTTATCACTAATGAGAATCTTAAAATATTTGCAAACTGTTGGATGGAATATCACAGCTTAAAAGAAATCTGGAAACGTGAAAATCATAGCTTAAAACAATGTTCTAATAATTGAAGCTCGTTAATGAGGCTCCAGTCATTAGCTGAGGTTTGTCTGGAATTTCTGAGATCTATTCTATAGTTTGAGGCTTTGAGCTGATGCAAGCTAAGACAAACTACCCAAGCTTGTACTCCACACGCATGAAAAAACAAGGTATCAAATATGAAGTAAATTGTTTTGTTTCAAGATACAATTAGGGTTGTTAGATAGTTTGATATGGTTATAGAATATGGTACACCTCAATTGTGGCAAAATAAGTGTCCCGTTACTGAGGCAATATTGAACTTGTTTAAAATTCTCTGTATCCAATACTTTTGGCTAGGGCTGTTTTATCTTTGATGTAAGCATTTTGTTGACTAGTACTGTTTTTTATGATGATAATGATCTACACGCGCAAAACCATTCCCTGTTTCCAATACTTGTGTCTGAGGCAATGCGATTTGAGCATTTTTTGGCTGTTATATAATGATGATCTTATGCTTGTAAAACTATTTTGCTTTGAAAGTTTAGTTATCTTTCTTAGGCAGTTGGAAGTGACGACCACAGTATTAGTATATAAGCTGAGCCGCAGTCTGTTAGTTTTACCTATGCATGTTGCACTACTAAGATGATTGCTCAACATCTGCGATCTTTCAGAAAGTTAGAGATGCAGAAAGAGAAAGAGTAAAGAAGCAGGAAGAGTTTGAGAACAAAGCAAATGTGCAGTTGGAGAGGCAGCTTGTAATGGCCTCTGAATGGAGCAGAACCTTGTTGACTATGCGTGGGAAATTGAAAGGAACTGAGTGGGATCCTGTGAATTCACACAAAATTGATTATAGTGAATTTATGAGTCTCTTAAACACAAAGAATGTCAAATTTATGGAATACTCAAATTTTGGTCAGACTATATCAGGTTAGAAAAACATGTCTCTTTGTATTCATTTGTGTTTTCTATTCTTCATCTATCTGCCTCCCCCCTCCCCCTCTAGTTATCTTTTCCTCTTTGCTGCGCTTTCTTAGTTACATTTGCTTGGTGGTTCACGGGGGATGGGGTAGTTGCTCTGAAGCACTTTAAATTTAAGAATTTACTAGTTTATCCGATCTAAAAGTGGCAGCTTTTTATGTTTCATAACTTACTAAAAATGAGTGTCTTTTAATGTTATTAAGATATGATGTTCTAAAAAAAACTGATTGTTGTTATAGCTCTATATTAGTATTCATATATTCTGGTCTTCCCCTCAAATCAGAGAGTTTATGTTCATTCGTGCTCCTAAAAATTGATCTTTAATTTTGTTGCTAATGGGTTTCTATGCAGTGATATTGCCTCACTACAAAGATGGGATGGTAAAAGGAATCTCTGAAGAAAACCAAAAAGAGGAAGTTGTTTTTAAGCGCCACATAGTTGACCGGATGCCAATTGATTGTTGGAATGATGTTTGGCATAAGTTGCATCAACAATTGGTAAGTGTTGATGTAATAAATGAGAACACAGTGCCTGCAGAAGTCTATTCTTCTGTTGCAACAGCTGTCGTATGGTCTATGAGGCTAGCTCTTTCCATAATGTTGTATCTATGGATTGATAGTGTTACAAGGCCAATATATGCCAAGTTAATCCCTTGTGATTTGGGGAAACCCAGCAAAAAGGTGAGACAGCCCCTTAAGCGTCGTGCATTGGGATCATTGGGGAAGAGTCGAGCGAAATTTATATCTGCAGAAGAAAGAACAGGAGTGACATTTGATGATTTTGCTGGCCAAGAGTATATAAAACGAGAATTGCAAGAGATTGTACGGATTCTAAAAAATGAAGAAGAGTTTCAGGATAAAGGCATTTATTGCCCCAAGGGTGTGTTACTTCATGGCCCTCCAGGAACTGGTAAAACATTATTAGCTAAAGCTATTGCTGGGGAAGCAGGACTTCCTTTCTTTGCTGCCAATGGGACGGATTTTGTAGAGATGTTTGTTGGTGTAGCAGCATCTCGGGTGAAGGACCTTTTTGCTAGTGCTAGATCATTTTCTCCTTCTATCATTTTTATTGATGAGATCGATGCTATTGGTAGCAAGCGTGGTGGTCCTGACATTGGAGGTGGCGGGGCTGAAAGAGAACAAGGTCTGCTTCAAATATTAACTGAAATGGATGGGTTTAAAGTTTCCACATCACAGGTATTGGTCATCGGAGCTACCAATCGACTAGATATCCTTGATCCTGCCTTGCTGAGAAAAGGAAGATTTGACAAGATTGTAAGAGTTGGTCTACCCTCCAAAGATGGTAGATTGGCTATATTGAAGGTACATGCAAGGAACAAGTTTTTTCGTTCTGAAGAGGAAAAAGAAGTATTGCTGCAGGAAGTGGCAGAGCTAACTGAAGATTTTACTGGAGCCGAGCTACAGAATATTCTCAATGAAGCTGGAATATTGACTGCTAGGAAAGATCAAGACCACATTGGCAGAGAAGAACTACTGGAGGCCTTGAAAAGGCAACAGGGTACATTTGAAACTGGAATAGAAGATACAAAGGAAATTCCAGAGGAGTTGAAGGTGAGATTAGCCTACAGAGAAGCAGCTATTGCCGTCTTGGCTTGTTATTTTCCTGACCCATATCGTCCTTTTGTTGAGACCAACATTAAGTCAGTTCAAAGCCAGCCTAGAATGCGTTATGCTGAAGTTTCTGGAAGGGTGTTCTTGAAAAAATCAGATTATGTGAACTCCATTGTTCGAGCTTGTGCTCCCAGGGTTATTGAAGAAGAGATCTTTGGGATAGACAACTTGTGCTGGATTTCATCCAAAGCTACTCTTGAAGCTTCAAGATTAGCTGAGTTTTTAATTTTGCAAACAGGGATGACAGCTTTTGGAAAAGCATATTATAGACATCAGCGCGATCTTGTCCCAAATCTCGCTCCCAAACTTGAAGCTCTAAGAGAGGAATACATGCGTTTTTCTATTGAGAAATGTTCATCGGTGTTGAGGGAACATTATGCTGCTGTGGAGACAATTACTGATGAACTCCTTGATAAGGGAGAGATTAATGCCTCAAAAATATGGGAGATTTATGAAACATCTCCCCGAATTTCTCAGCCAGCTGTTGATCCTGTTGATGAGTATGGTGCTTTGGTCTATGCTGGAAGATGGGGTTTACATGGTATCTCTTGTCCAGGGAGGGTTACCTTTGCACCCGGTAATGTGGGATTTTCAACCTTTGGGGCACCTCGTCCCATGGAAACTCAAATTATTAGTGATGAAACCTGGAAGCTAGTAGATGATATTTGGGATAAAAGGGTTGATGAGATGAGAGATGAAGTTTTGACTGAGGTTGCAGAAGAAAAGGAGAGACCAGCACTATTGATGGCTAGCCATTTCCTATGATATCATGATTTTCAAGCAGAAGACTCATCTTACACCTTGTATCTCTTGTTGGAAGTTATTGCAGCTTGAAATGAGATCATCGTTTCTATACAGCTCCACACATGCTCATTTATAGCAGATTTTGATAGCAGTTGATGAGATTTAGGCATCAATAGCAGTTCTTCAGGTACATTAAGATAATATGAATGGACTCATTGAAGAAGCTGCATATCAAGGCAAGTTTAGGCTCTCAGATGGGTTCGGCGTCATTATTTTGAGCAATACATGCAACCCTTAAATTGTTCTTAAACCTTTTTTTTTTTTTTTTTTTTTTTTTTTTTTGGGCTGAGGGGAGGGGTTGGCTCTGTTGGTGTGTGAGGTGTTGTGAAATTGCAAAGCAAGCTGTATGTTGCAAATTGTACCATGATTTTTTTTGTCAAGCGAAGAAGAAATGATAAGTAAGTTGAATACATAGTCTTCATTATCAAAATTTATGCCACCATTAGAATTATCTGGAAAACGTCGTCATCTACAGACCCCCTTCCTTTTTTGTAGCTTGCTCATTCAGGACTCACGCAGTCACACTTTGTGGTCTTGGGGTCTTCTTCCAAAAAATCTTTAGAAAACTTTGTCTGTTTTGCCAATCGAGGTAGGCATGTCATGGCAGTGGAATCCTTGGAGATCAACCTGCTCCATGAGTAAGAAACTCTCCTATGATATGAGGTATAAACATGGCTAGCCCCAAGGATTATTTATGCCGCTTGCGATGTGAAGGCTTGTTCAATGAAGCTAAAAAAACCTTGCTAAAAACCATAATTGATTCTCAGAATGAAATGTCAAAGGAATTCAACCTCCAAAATTAACATTCAAGGATCAATGAATCACATCATAGATGTTAAGGGGGCGGTCTAGATGAGGATAACTTTCGGCTTTCTAATTTTTACTATACTGAACTGCATCCAGCAAACTCACATTGGTAGGGAGGGAGAGATTGGAGCACCAAAAGGTAGGACTAAAATGAAGCCATTCAAAATTTTTGAAAATAGATCAATCTCTGGGAAAATAAGTCAGGCATTCGGTTGACAATTGTTAATTTCAGGTGTACAAACATATGATGGGGGACAAAGTTTTCACAATCCCCTCCCAAGTGAATTAAAATTCAAGAAAAACAAGTATAGCAATACACTTAATTTTAACAACTCTTCACGAGTTTGTTGGTTTATGATAACATTACTTTTCGCGAATATAACAGTAAATGATATGGCAATCAATATTCATACCACAGCCAGCTTGGCCTCAATGGTTACAGTTACACCTCAGACAATTTTCCCTTTTCATCAAGCAGAGTAAATTATGTACATCAATATTGTCCCCCGTCTCAAACTTCCATGTATTATTTTGCCACAACCATCAATGAAACCGAGATTCGTTTTTTGCTGGAATTGTAAAAGCCTAGACAAGCCCTTCCTCACCACTTGATTAACCCTGACAGCAAATAACACTCTGCACAGTCTTGGTGCTCATCCATTAGTGAAATCTCAATAATCCTTCGTATCAAATCATATTGATAGTGACATCCAGTGTACCTGTTTATCAAATAATACACAAAGAATCTTTAAGAATAACTGTTGTAGGTATCTCATTGAGGAGACAAAAGGTGTAAAATTTGAAGGGCACATTAGACGAGTATAAATGTTTTTTTTTTTTTTTTTTTGAACAAAAACAAGTATAAATGTCTATAAAGAATGAAGATTTGTATAGTGGTTCTAGCATCACCTAGAAGTCAGAGTAGCATACTAAATAAATAAATAAAAAGGAAATCAATACCCAAGATTACTTCCAGAAAAGGCCAGATGTAATCATGTGTTCTTTTCTTACAACGGCACTATGCACAAGCACAAATCCTAATTGTTCTAGTCAGACTTAATCATACAAAATCCATTGCAAAATTTCTTCCTAGCCAGTATAAGCTAAGCTGATCACAGAACAAAGAGATGAAAGATGCCAAGGCACATACCTCAAAATGGAGCACTGCAAATTTCTCAGCTGCAGTGCTACTGTGTCTGTAAGCACTCTCGGGCAAGTAATAACCCATAAGTGACAAATGTTTGACAACACTGGGATTTGATATCGTTTACTTGACTTACAAAGCAGTATGATGTCATCGGAGGGATCGTCAATCATCACCCACTCCCATCTGCTCAAATTGGCTTGCACCCCTATCTTTGATCTGAGAGCTCATCATCTAGACAAAGCCATCTCAAGTCTCAAGTCATAATAGTCCAAGATGATAATGCATCATCTAGACTTTATAACAGTTTCTTACATAATCTCCAAAGGCATTATGCACATTAAGTCTCCTGCATATGCACATTCCTACCCATCCAATAGATTGTCAAAGAGGCTAAGTGACTGCTTAAGCCCTTCAGCTCTGCAGTGTCTTTTAACCAATATGTGGCATGGGACGTGATCAACCTGAAGGCCAGAATTCCATATCCTGAAAAATATTTCTTCTGCCTCCTTGTCTTGACCCTTTAAACAATAACCTTTGATCAGTTCTGTGTAAGTCACAACATCTGGAAGATACCCCCTCCTAAGCATTTCATCATGCAATTGAAGTGCAAACTGTATTAACCCAAGATTACAAGTGGCACCCACCAACATGTTGTATGTCACTAGATCAGGAACTTGTCCACTCTGATCCATCTCTCTTTTTAGAGATAGAGCTCCATTGATGTTCTCTTCTTTCAACAAGGCATATATCATTGCATTGTAGGTGTATGTATTCAGGGGAACGCCAAAAGCAACCATCTTCTCTTTGATAGACAGTGCATTCTTGGTGTCTCCACATTTTCCATAACCATAGATAATGGAATTCCAAATAACAGGCTCTGGGATAGTGGAATTCTCTAACATACAGCTGAGTATTTTGGCTGCCTTATCAACCTCTCCACGTAAGCAGAGGCCTTGAACAATCATCTTATAAGTGATGCAATCAGGAGCCACTCCCATATTAAGCATTATACTAAGCATGTTCAATGCCTCATCAAAAGCTCCAAATTTACAGAAGTAACTTATAAAGGTATTACAAGTAACTACATCGGGTTGAATTCCTCTCTTAATCATTTCCCCAAAACAACTAAATGCAAGTTTAATTTCCTGATTTGAGCAAAAACCATGTATAAGAACATTAAAAGCAACAACATCTAATTGTTTACCCTCTTGCAACAATTTCGTCAATTGATCAAGAGCTTCAGCAATATCTCCATTCTTAAAATAACTATCCATTAGTATGGTAGACGTAATTAAATCAATCTGTTTCCTCTCAGACTCATCTTTTAAAATCTCTGCAAGGAAATTCCTAGCTCCTTCCACCAAACCTTCTTTACATAAAGCATGAATAAGTATATTACAAGTAATCCTGTTTGGCTTGATTCCATAATTAGCCATTGAAGAAAACAAAGACAAAGCTTTGTCTACATCACCCTTTAAACAATAACCCTTGATAAATGTGTTGAAAGTTGCACAATTAGGAGAGGGGCCTTGGGCTAACATCTCTCTAACAAGATAATCAGCTTTCTCCAAACAACCAACTTTACAAAATGCATTGACTAGGTGATTGTGTGTAATTACATCAGGAACATAATGATTTGTGATTAGCTTGCTTCGAAGCCAAAGGGCAACATCTAACTTACCTTCCAAACTTAAAAGCCTAATAGCAGCTTCAAGTTCTCGAAAATCAGTGGTTGTGGAGATCTTCGCCAAGATAATTTCAGGTACTGACAAAGTTTCCCTGCAATATCAATCACATATATATATTCAATAATCCAATAGTATTACTCCAAAATTGCATCTACCAAGACTAGTTAGGTCCATTTGGTCTATATTAAATAAACCTTAACATGGGAATCTAAGACTCTTAACTACTAGTATTATGTTACGATCCCATATCGGCTATGTCACGTAAATAATTGAACAATCATTTACACGTAATCAGTAATGCTAGGGGTAAAAAAATGTCACTAAAGCCATTGTTTTTTCCTAAAATAGGAATCACAACTATAATTCTACGAAAAAAGGTAGTCGGCTAGGCTATAATCCAACAGACACACAATCACTCCCAATAAAGATATACATTGAATCGCTATAGCTACAGAGAAGATTAGGCAACTAGCAGCAAAAAATCCTAGAGCCTTGCAGTAGTTTTTAGGTAGTTTATGTGGTTCACTTATCCAGCAATCTTACATAACATGACAAAGGTGATAAATTTAGTAAAGGGGGCAAACCCAAAAAAACACGATGATGTGAGCAAAAAAATTTAATCAATAATGGCAAAGAGAAAAACTCTGCAACAAAAGGTCACCTTACGGTCTTCAAGCGATCCAAGGTGCTTTTTATAATGCCATCCAACACATTAAAAACTGCTCGAGGCGCTTCTCCCTCGTCAAAGCCATTGCTTCCTGAAGGAGAACCTTGAACCATCTGTTGACAAGAGTCTCGTACATTCACGGCTAAATCTTTAACAAACATGACAATTGCATCATATCCAAATATCCTGTACATATATATAATAATGAATTCAACAAAGAACTACTACCATAAACAATTTATTAATCAAGGATTTAAAATCACAAAAATGATCAACTAAAATTTATGGAAATCATCTACAACCAAAATTGCAACAATTAACAACCAAAATTGCCATAACCTAATACTAATGCACAATCAAGTACTGTATTTTTTACTAAACTATCATGAAATTAGCAATTCAATAAAACCCTAAACTACAAATGCAAGAAATATCATACAATGTACTTCAATTTACACCAAAATAAAGCAAATAAAAATGAAAAACATAGGAATGAGAAATGAAGAGAGCTTACGGATGGCGCGGAGAAGAGAGTGAGCTGAATCTCGCCGCCGCCATAGCTGAAAACCCAGAAAAACAGCGCAGAAACCCAGATTAAAGTATTGATTGATAATAAAAATTATTCAGAAAAAAGAGAGATTTTTGAGAGATTTACCAAAGAAAGAGTAATGTGATGCGCACGCCATGAATGAGCTCGAAAAGCTCCGATTGAAGCAGGATTCAAGGTCTTCCAAAACCAAAAAACTAAGCCCTAATTATGATTTGGGGAAAATAGGAGGAGGAAGAGAACAACGATGAGGAATGTAAATTAGGGATTCAATGCAGATTGAATTTTTTGTCGACATAAAAATGGTATGCCGAATCCAACATGTAATGTAAATAAAACTACTTTGTGTTTAAGCCAATAGTTTCTATATTACATAAATCAAATTCAAATATGCTAAGAAAAAGTCGTGTTGTGTTAAGTTTGTGCCTATATTACATAAATTGAATTCAATTATGCTCGATTCACATGTAATGCCGTGTCTGCAATCTTCCTAAAAATTCTTTAGTTTTATGTCAAGTTGTCGTGCATGTGTTAAAGTTTTTTAAAATGATGTTCATGCATGACCCAAAGCTTATTAGGGGTTGTTTGGTTGAAGTTTTTGGAATAGATTGGAATGAAGTTAAAATACGTTCCATCCATTTTGTTGTTTGGTTAGGCAATTTAGGTATGAGATCTCATAGTAAGGGGTTCTAATTCTACTCCATCCCCCTAAATCCCATACCCACCTTACCCCCCTTCCCCCCCAAGATTCACAATCCACTCCTTTTATGAAATGTAAAAATAATTCTAAAGAATACACCAAACAAGTTTAGACAAGTATGGGTTTTAGAATCCATACCTCCCTAATTTGAGATTCCATACCTATCCTTTTCAGTTTAATGAACCAAACGTCCCCTTAGTGTGTCTTTGAAATTGTGCCTCCTTCTTTAAAATCATTTAAACGACCCCTTAATTTAGGCCTTAGAGGGTTAAGCAAACAATTTTAGTGGTGTTTTAAAGTGAATTTTTCTTAGTATAATTATTTAATTTGTTGCCTTTGTGAATTGTGATCATTGTGAAAGTAACCAAATTAATAAGTTGCTGGATGGATTCTTCAACCGTAATATTTGCATGATATATATAATGTTTTATGATACTCCGAGCAGAACTCGAAGTTGGTTTAATTTAATGTCTGATTGTTGTTCATGGTTGTATACCCTTTTGAAAAATTTTATTTATAAAACCACCCTTGGATGCATGTACCTCTGTGCATTTGAGTGTATATAAAAGGCGCTAATACTCTTTGGATGTATAGATTTAGTTTTCTTTGTAATATGGAATTGGCAAGGAAGCCAAAATTTGAGGCCATTCAGCCTCAAGAAGTGTCAGATAGTGTTGAACTTCAGTTCTGCTTTGTGAATGCACCACCACACCGTCGCACACCTCTTGTTAAACATGGAAAAGCCAGATTTACGAGCCCATTCGCAATGACATGAAATTGACATCCGCATGAACCTTAAGGCGAAACAGGTTGAACTAAGACTATGCCTAACACCACAAACATTAGCAACCTTTACAAGTGTGCTAGCTATGTTCAAGCCTTCATGTTGGGGTTTGAACCTGAGCAAGTAAGGGATGTTTTTCTCAAGTATGATTATTTTCATATGTCTACAATCGATATCCTGGATGTCAAGCGTACTCTTAAGGGGGATCACTTGACTCAAGCCATTGGAAGGATTTGTGGGAAAGGTGGGAAGACCAAATTCATGATTGAAAATGCTACTAAAACTAGGATTTAGGCCGAAACCTCCAAAATTTCTCAAAAAGCGTGGATATTAGCCTTCAATTTTGTAATTTTTTGACTTTTTTTCGCCCGGATATAAAAATTGCCGAAATGCTTACCATATTACCAAATACCCTCCGGGAGTCCAATTGAGTGGGTGGAACCATCCAATTTGTCTTTAAACGACCAATTTACTGGTTTACAACTTACACCAATTTCATTAATTCAAGTCTACCCCGAATATTTATGACAACAAATAAAAATCATACATGGTTCCAAACGACATTATATGACCCCTATTCCCTAGAATTTCAAGACTTTTCGACACTGGGCCCCGAAGACTCCAAAAATTCTCAAAAAACGTGGATAATAAATTTCAATTTTTGAATTTTTTGACTTTTTTCACTCGGAAATAAAAATTGCCAAAATAATTACCATGGTCTCTAATACCCTCCGGGAGTCCAATTGGGTGGGTGAAACCATCCAATTTGCCTCTAAACAGCCAATTTACCGGTTTACAACTTACGCCGATTTCATTAACTCAAGCCTACCACAAACATTTATGACAACATATAATGATCATATATGGTTCCAAACGACATTATATGACCTTGAGATTAATCCCCTAAAATCTAAAGGCTTTTCGACACTGGGCCCCAAAACCTCCAAAATTTCTCAAAAAGCGTGGATATTAGCCTTCAATTTTGGAATTTTTTTACTTTTCTTCGCCCGAAAATAAAAATTGCCGAAATTTTTACCATGGTCCCTAATATCCTCCGGGAATCCAATTGGGTGGGTGGAACCATCCTATTTGCCTTTAAACGACCAATTTATCGGTTTACAACTTGCACCGATTAAAATAACTCAAGCCTACTACAAACAATTATGAGAACATATAATGATCCTATATGATTCCAAACGACATAATATGACCCTGAGATGTATCCCCTTAAATCTCAAAACTTTTCGACATCGGGCCTCGAAACATCCCAAATTTCTCAAAAAGCGCAAATTTCAATTTTGGAATTTTTTTACTTTTTTTTCTCCCGGAAATAAAAATTGCCGAAATGTTTACCAAGGTCCCTAATATACTCCGGGAGTCCAATTGGGTTGGTGGAACCATCCAACTTGCCTTTAAAAGACCAATTTAATTACCGGTTTACAACTTGCACGGATTTCATTAGCTCAAGTCTACTACGAACATTTATGACAACATATAATGATCATATATGGTCCCAAATGGCATTATATGACCCCGAGATGTATCCCCTAAAATATTAATACTTTTCTACACTAGGACCCGAAACCTCCAAAATATCTCAAAAAACGTGGATATTAGCCTTCAATTTTGAAAATTTTTGATTTTTTTTTTCGCTCGGAATTAAAAATTGCCGAAATGTTTACCATGGTCCCTAATACCCTCCGAAAGTCTAATTGGGTGGGTGGAACCATCCAATTTGCCTTTAAACGACCAATTTACCGGTTTACAACTTGCACCGATTTCATTAATTCAAGCCTTCCACAAACATTTATGACAACAAATAATGATCATATATGGTTCCAAACGGCATTATATGACCCCGAGATGTATCCCATAGAATTTCAAGACTTTTCGACACCGGGCCCCGGAACCTCCAAAATTCTTAAAAAGTGTGGATATTAGCCTTCAATTTTGGAATTTTTTGACTTTTTTTCACCCAGAAATAAAAATTGCCGAAATGTTTACCATGGTACCAAATACCTTTTGGGAGTCCAATTGGGTGTGTGGAACCATTCAGTTTGCTTTTAAACGGCCAATTTACCGGTTTACAACTTGAATCGAATTACCGGTTTACAACGGCCAATTTAATTAACTTGCACCAAACCCGACTTGAACCGAAATTGACCCAAACCCGTTTTTACTCGTCAAAACCCGAATTTAACCCGACTTGTTACTAACCTGACCTGAATTCAACCCGACCCGAAATTAACCCGACTTGTTATTGACCTGACCCAAATTCAACCCGACTTGTTATTGACCTGACCCAAATTTTACCTTACCTATTACTTACCCAACCCAAAAATTCAACCCGATTTGTTACTAACTCGACTCAAAATTAACACGACTTGTTATTGACCAGACCTAGATTCAACCCAAATTGTTCCTGACCCGATTTCAAATCACCTTAAATGCAATTTAGACCACCTTATTATTGTTGATTAAAGCATTTTGTCTTGAGAGACCAAGTTGGTCCAGGCCAGCAAAATAAAGGAGCATCATCCTCAAATTTAAGGTTAAATATAGTATATATTTGTTGTATGGTCAAAGGAGATAATTATCTTCCTAAATTATAGATTATAGTTCCTTAGTATATTGTCATATATATTATAGTCAAAGGAAATAATTAGCTTGATAAAAATGATAATTATCTATTTATAGTTAGTTGAACATGAATATGACCTGACTTGGAAATGACCCGACCTGATTGTAACCTGTAAATTATTGACTTGAACATAACCCGACTTGAATCCAAGAATGACCTAACTTGGAAATGACCCGACCTGATTATAACAGTTGTTTATTACCTTAATGTGTTTTCATCATCCATATGATATTCAATAAGTAAACGTAGGAAGAAATTATAAAATATTACATTATGTAGAAATACTAGGCAGTTTATCTTTTTGATATGAAAGAGATTTTCATGTTTGCAACTTTGAAAAATAAATGCTACATTGTTAACATACATATACATAATTGATACAAATAAAATGAGACACTTTCATTTCTTCAAAATCATCTTAGCTGCAGCAAAACTTTTTGTCCTATAATTTCCGAGCCTGGCCTTTCCTTTGTTGGGCACCTTCACTCTGCCTCTTCCCCCATGAATTTTCGGCCACCAAAGCAGTTTTTTCCCCTTCTTTTTACCCCCATGACGACCACTTCCAAGCCCCTTGAAACCATTCTTCACTTGTTTAGGTTTCTTAGAATGCCTCATGTGCTTCATTAGCCCACTTACAAGTGCATAAAAATGTCCTGGTTGTTTCCTCTTCACCAAAGTCTTGACCTCAGATTTTCTTGGCTTCTCTGACTTTAGTTTCTGACGATGATTGGCATTTTTTGTATGATGAAACATCTCTCCAAGTCGTTTCCAAAATGATCTAGCATGACGTGCATCGGATTCATCCCTATAATGATGGTGGTGGTGATGGTGATGGTGGTGAAAAATCATCCCTAGCTTCTTTCCAAGTCTCCTCAATCTCCCTTTCCTTTTTCCTCCTTCCTTTTGTGGGTCCCACTTATGTAACCGTTCTGAACTCATTTGGCTCGAGGATTTTGCATCAGAGTAGTCATCTCTACTGTTAGAATAGGAAGAAGTATCATTGTATCCTGAAGTGATAATATCAGTGTATCCAGGCTGTTCTCTCATCCTTGTTGAGTGGCTCACTTTCTCATGCAGTGGCTCACTTTCATCACTATCATAACTATCACTTCCTGATAATTCATAACTCCCACTCAAAGAAGACGGCGAGCCACTTTGTTGAGTTGTTGAGCCAGAAGAAGTGCATGAATTCCAACTCGTTTCCTCTGAGATTTGATCATGAGGTGCAACCTTGCTGTGCAAAGGCCCCTTAATACTTTTCCTGATTAGACTATTTCTGTTAAAAGAATCCCTAGACCTGATCATCTTCGATGATTGGCCCATTTCTTGTGCAATTCTTCCACTTGTATGACTCTGACTCCATTTCTGATGAGGAGGACGCGCATTACTTGTTCTGTTATGTCTCATGGAACTTGTAGACCCCGCAGATGGAACATGTGTGCAGGGCCTCAATGTCGCTTCTCTTTTAATAGCCTCTCCACAATAGGACTGATGTGGCATGAGGCTCAAACCTTGTACATGTTTTGAGGCATGACTTGAAAAAGATTCATTCCTACTCAATTTACCTTCAAGTGACTCAGGTCTACCAAAGACGGCCTTAAACATAGGCCCAGGAACCTGGCTGATTGACTGAACATTTGAATTCTTCACCAACTCTACTCCATTCATTCTATCATCACTTTGAGCTGATACCCAACCTGACGGTTTATCAACCAATCTATGCGTCACATTCGAGCATTTGATCTCACCTCTCATAGGATCAAAATCTCCATTCTGATAAAGCATCTGTTGTCGCATACCATCACCATGACCTACAGAATCAATATTCCTGCTCCATTTGACCTGAGAAAGATCTGGAGAGTTGCCTTTTCTAACCATTGGACTCCCTTGGTTAAAAAACATATTTTCACCAAATACAGCCAAATTGTCAGTGAGGCGTAGCTCATTTGTTGCTACCAAGTCTTTTTCCTTGCGTAAAGGATTTGCTGAACTTGAGATATTGGGCATAACCAAATCATCAACACTCTTTTGGTTTGATGACTGGTCAGTTTTAACAAGCTTTTGAAGTGATGGAATAAGGGACTCAATTCTGCTTATTGCATCCTCAATTGCCTTGGAAAAATCCACAGACGAATCCACTTCTTCCTCATCACTTCCCTTATTATTTCCATCTAAAGGAAACAAACCGGCATTGTTCAAGTTCATTCCAATTCCAGAAGGTGATGTTTTCCTTGGAAATTCATGATGATTCTTAACAAAAAAAGAAGGCTGTTTTGTTTCAGAGCCTTGAACAAACTTATTCACCTCATGACTTTGAAATGTAAAGTTTTGTGGCCAACTAACAAAAGGGACATCTCGCTTTATTGATGAATTCTCATCACTGAGGCCTAGATTAATCTGGTTAGTAGCATGAAAACTGGGCTGTGATTCACAAAATCGACAGCGTTTCCTACTGATTTGTGGCTCACTATGGGAACTGCTTGGTGTTGATGGAGTGGAAAAGTTAATTTGGGGACTTAACCTTGTAGTTAACTCCTTGTCCTGCAGTAACCTTGGGCTATGCTGTAATGTTTGTTTGGAGGGCAGAACACCAACTATACTGGATTCGGAAACCATCCTCTATAATTTTCCAAAAGATAAAAAACAGAAACGAATAGATTCAGATTCAAAGTCTGTCTGGTAAAATTATGCAGATGTATTAATAGATTATGATCCAAAGAACACCAAGCTAATTCTCGCTAGTATAAACATCATAAGCTACCTTGCCAAAATAGAATAAACAAACTGATGGTTTTTTTTTTTAATGAAATTATATTACTGCATTTTTCAGGTTCTGTAGAGGTATCAAATGAGTGATGATTGATGAATGATGATCAGTTGTACTCTCATTGTTGTTCTGCTTAGTACTATGGTCAGTTTTCTACATACCCTCTTCATTTCTATATTTTCTTTGTGCGTGGTATTTGTTATATACACCCGGGTGTACCATACACCCAACTAACCAACGTTAGTTTTTGCACTTCATTTGATGATGAAAGAAAACAAATAAACAATCATCAAAATGTGAACAAAATACTAATGGTGTACGATACACCCGGGTGTACATAACTTTAAGTGCTTTGTGCGTGTGTACACCAGAATTTTATCCAACATTGAATTGCATAGCCTTTATAATATTCACCCTTACAATCTTTCTATATAACGCAAATCAATTCATGCATCAGTTTGGAAGGGGAAAAGGACGCAGAACACTCTACTTATAATCAAAACTTGTGAATTTCAAGCATCATAAACTATCCCAGCACACCAAAATTGCAATTTTCATCTTATAATCAAAACTTATGAATTTGCATGTAATTTCTCTAAAAACTAAAATCAGAATTCAATTACAACAAAAATAAAAAACTTGATTTTGATAGATTCTTGAAAAATATGTAAATAAAATTAAAAGAACCATCATAAATCAGAGATTACCTGAAATTGGAAGCACGATTTCGATTATACCCAAGATCACGATCAAGACAACCAATGAATTTCTGATGAAATTGCGCAACACATCAACGAATTTGCTGCTATGGGAGGATGAAACTCAAGGATTGATTTTGTGGGTGGGTGGTTTTTTTTTTTTTTTTTTTTTTTTTTTTTTTTTTTTTTTAATTCTTTGGCGGTTTCAAGCTTAATGTTGCCCAAAATTTTACAGTTTTTTATTTTATGTTGGCGGCAATAATAACCTACATACAATTGAAACAAAATTATATTTGCGGAACTTAAATTATTTTTACTAAATTTAAATTAATTTTACTGAATTGAAATTATTTTTACTGATTTTCAATTATAATTCTTGTTTAAGAATACTGAATTTGCTAAACAGAAATTATTTTTACTCAATATTTTTTTTTTAAGTGAAGTGAACCGGTAATTAAATTACGCTCATAATAATCTTTTCTTTTGGTTATGATGTTTCACAATCTAAGAATGTTATATACTTACATTATTCTTATTACCTTGTTTTAGTGCCTAAAATTTCGAATTTTACATTATTCTTGAGAAATAGCATAGGCATGGGTGGTTCTTGCTCTGATTTTATGAATTACAATGTAACTACTTTTTTAAAATTAAAATTCAAGCATTAGCTGCATAGCTCCTTCAAACTTTTTTTTAAAAAAATTCTTTTGCTAAAAGAAACACTCAATAAGCATAACAACTAGAAGTATATTCAATGCATGAATTAAACATCAAATATCGTTTATATCAGGAAACACAAGCATAACGAATAAAAAGCTCGAGAAGCTAATTTAGTAGCTGATGATGCCGCAATCAGAATGTAAAATGTACAACATTAACCCAATTTAGAGCCCTAATCCTCTAAATGATGTAATGAAACAAAAAGAATTACCAAAAAAAATGATAACAAAATTGTAGATATATATTTTTACAACAAAGGGAAAGTAACATATATCCTAGCTCATTTTTGCACATTCGTGACAAGGACATAAGGTGAAGCCATGCCCAAAAAAATACTCTGGAGTCATAAAACCATCAGCAGATTCACAAAAAAGAATTCATGTTAAAGTTGCAGCAAATGATCCTATGACTTGCATATGCATTCTGGGTACGGATTCTGATAAAATGATTCTTCAAACCGGAATCGTGCTCTGCCCTTAATTCCTGGTGGAGGGACACTCCTTTTCCTTGGAGCCCCTTGCCTATAATGTAAAAGAGAACGAGAGTGTGACACTTACCAATATTGGCACGATATATAAAATTATGTCGCAAGGAGAAAGTATGGCTAATGGCCTACTTCCTAAACACAACTGAAGTATAGCTCTTTTAATCTTACCTATTCCTGTGCATCCTTTTGACAATATTGGATACGGATGGCCCTTCCTGTAGTTTTCCAGAATCCAACTTATCGAATACTTCAATTAGACCCTTCCTGCAGAAAACAGGTCAACATATGATATTAGAAAACATAACAAAATTAATACACAAGATAGAACATTTGACATCACTAATCGATTTGTTGTCTATATTAATACACAAGCATTCAGGCCTCCTGACAACTGTATGCAGAAATGAATAGTATCATCCACATATGCAAATAGATATAGAAACCCCTTCTTCTCCCAAATCCCAACCTAAACCTTCACAACAGGCCACCACCTCCCCCCTAAAGAATGTCAATCCAAGGGACCTACCACCAAAGTGAAAAGGAACGGATGGAAGATTGTTATGGTTTACAATCTCACTACTTCACTAGTGTTGACCCCAAATGGCCTCCTATGTTGGCAATTCATGAGAGTATTAACTAGATAAGAAACAGAATAGTTATTGACAGTAAAAAAATACTTTTGACCACCAACTTGACCGGCAAACTATGAGAAACTGCAACTTCTTTACGTTTCAATAGTCGTTACTTCAACAAAACAACAGATACGACATTCCCCAACAAACCAAAGAAACAATAGGGCTTCTCTACCTTCAAATAAAATCTTCTGATAACTTTTGGTTCTAATAACTGGAAATTTTATTTGGAAATATGGTTCTAGTTTCAGGATAGTTTAGCAAACCATCTTATGGTTTGATTACCCTAAAAAAAAAAAAAAAAAGAACTCCATCACAAGCACTAAGGACAAATAAAGACACATTGGTATTTCAAACCAGCAGCCAATTACCTGTCAGGCGTAATTGTCTTTCTGTGCTCCAGGAACCGCCTATGACCCTCAACTGCTCTTGCCATGTTCCCTGAATGAGAAGAAATGAACACATCGCTCTCCACAGAAATGATATAATCAATAGCAGCAGCTTGAGTAGCATGATGGGAAAAAGCTCCTAATTCATCTTGGGTAGCCAGCATTTCCTGCCAACAAAAAACTAGCTAATGATGGAATCCAAGATAGCTTCTCCACAAATGTCCTAAAAAATGTAGGGGGTCGATTAACAAGGAAAAGCATGTAATTTTAGTGCATACTTTAAAAATCACATTAGGAAATCGCAAAGTCAGCTCAGCCAATCGCTTAGCACCTCCATAAATCTCTCCGGCAGCAATATAAATTAACGTTGACGGAGGATAACCAAGAGCCTTAATAAAGATCCCAACCTCTCTGGGTGTAAGTGGACAAAGGCCTGCATTCCTCTGCTCTGTGGAGTTTATTTTCTTTACTTTCCAGTGGTGTGTGTTCTCCCTGACAATTTTGGGCAGAGAAGCATCAGTTTGTTATGTAAAAAAACATGGGAGGTTGTTAAATCTTCCATGTAATAGTGGTGGTGTGAAGGCTTATTGATACACACCACAAACATCAGTTGACATGAAAACTTTTCTATTCATTTTTGCATCCCTCCGAACCTAATCAGGTTCTACAAATCGGTTCATTTAGGTTATGTCCATTATGTTGCCTTTTCTATTCATTTTTGTATCCCTCTGAACCTAATCAGGTTCTACAAATCGGTTAATTTAGATTATGTCCATTATGTTGCTTTTTGCAGATTACTGCTCCTTAGGCAGCAAATTTGGGAAAGTCTATATTTTGCCAGTCCTTGTCTTGAAACTAAAGCTCCATTTACGACAAACCAGAAGTGCTTCTAAGCATTTCTTGCAGTAGATTTAGACTTTGAAGCATATGCTTCATATACATTTGGTGTTTGCAAATATAAATATCAGTACCTCATATTCCTCAACTCCTCAGATTCTGCATCAGAAAGACCATAGGTACACCCAGTAAAAGCAAGCATGTCCTTCTCATATCTAAGATGAAGAGCAATGTACTGACCCTCACGTGACCTTAGCCGCTCCACAAGCCTCTGTGGTGTCACTGCCATAAAGTCAGAACCTGATTTAAAACATACCCCATAGTGTGCCTCTTGAAATCATTCTAAAGGAAACACTGAAAACATGGAAAGCTCTTGCAAATACTAGAAGTTCTTTTAATGGCTTTCTCCACAAAATCTGTTTTCTTCAGACAGCAAGGTAAAGTAAACGTAGAAATTCACCTTGCCCAAATGTTCAATAGGGGGAGAGAAATGTAAAGCATGGTATAGAGCACGGCATCGGAGCCTTTGAATGTCAAGAGGCAGATCATTATTTGCAAGCCGAGAATCTGATTTTGCAACATGAATCACCTGAATATCATGACTAGACAAGTCAAATTCCATTATACTTTGGGAAAACACCATCCAGACGGTTTACAATGGTTTGCTTAACTCAAGATACCCCCCCCCCCCAAAAAAAAAAAAAAAAAAAAAAGTTCTGAATATGGAAACAGAATTGCTCATCCAAGTACCACAAAGAAGAAAAAAAAACAATAAATAATTCAAAAGGCCCACCTGATATTCCCTCCACAAATGTGTCATATTCTCATAATAGCTCATCCCTGACCAGGAACCAAAGTGTTTGCGGGCTCGAGGAGCAGATTCCAGCTGTTTAGGAAGTTCCTTCACAATTCTCACATCCTGATGCAAGCTTCTCATGAAATAGAGCTCATCAAATATGTCCCCAAATACACTGATCAAGAAAATTAAAATATGGTAAGAAACCACAGAGCAGAAACAAAGAAGAGCTTTTACAAAGGGCTGCCAAAGAGACCTTGAATCCTGCCAAAATGAACGTTTATCCAGAGTGGGAATCACCAGGGTTGCATTCATAATGCGTGCCACAGCCACCATATCAGCAATCTAGGGACAAGGGTATTTATTACAACAATGAAAAAAAAGCAAACAAATAGAACATGGAAGAAAGCTTAAACAACTTGAAAAAGAAAGCAAATTTCTCAATATGATGGTTATGATTCAGTACAATTCAAGCTTCACTGATTGGAATTTTGCTTCATTTACATCAATATCAATAACAACAAAAGGTACAGGAGTAAATCTGCAACCGAGTAAAATCATGTGCTTATGCTTAATTGTGTGGATATTCAACATTGCTAGATATGCATATATGAACATTCAAATAAATAGGCCAGAATCAGGTACACATCAATACATCATTGCAAAAAATGCATGCAAACTCACACATGTATACTTCAAATACACATGAACAAGAATTTAAGCTCAAGCATGTATGCACTAGCAAAGGTTTTGGTAAATTGCATTCTTTTTCTAGTTAAATTATTACAGGTATTTTCCATCCAAACGGATTAAAACCTATATCTAATAATTTATTGCCAGCATCTTACTTTGGCAAATGAATTCAACAAAGCCGCTATACCAGCTTATACAAATCATAAGAGAAAAAAGCCAAAGTAACTTACACCAGTACGCATTTGATTTAGCCCTCCATTGCTTTTTACAGTCAAATATCTGTTAGATTCCTGAGCAACTGACCATATATGAAAATACAGAACCAAGTTAGTAAGTATATTAGTACGCTTTAATAAGTAGTCAAGGAAATATCCCATTAGTAAACATTGACATGATAGCGATCAAGATCAAAAAGTTTCAGCAGCACTTAAGAATTTCTGTTACAATAATTCCAACTATTACTTTCTTCAAGAAAAAGCAAGAATGACTGCAAAACATTTAACCTTGGTATCTAGCAGTAGGCTTGACACAAGGGCGCAGGTCACGGCTGAAAGTCCGAGCTGGTAAATGCTCATCAACATAGTGCACAGGACTCCTTATCTACAGATAGAAGCAATTTCAGATTACTTAAAACATAGAAAGAGATACCAGTAAACAGTTTATTATTCTTCAGTATCCTTTTTATCATTTGAATGTCAATCTAGAGCACAGGTAACAAATATTACAGTAATTAAAAATAGGTAACATTCATCAACTTTTTATCCCAACTAAAATTTCCAACTTCAATAACATAGACAATCTACACAGATTTACAGCAAATTGAGCAGACCTCATCACATCTAATCATCTCCCGAACCCCAAATGATCAAAACCCCAATAATAGAATAATAATGATTAATGAAACAAAATCAACATTCATTCATAAAATCACAAGACAAAACAACCCCAGAAAGGCAGAAATTTGAGATTACAAAAAAAGCTCAAGAACACAGAACAATATCAAATTAATTGAAATTGGGGATTACCCATGTAAAAAGAATCAATTTTACCTGCTCAGATTGATGATGAGGGTTAGAAATAGACTGAAAATCATTATTAAAAAGTGGGTTTTGTTCATCTTCTAAAACATCCTTAGAATATAGGAGAAAGAAGAAGATTGAAATAGCAAAAAGAAGAATTATATAGAGAGTGCGAGTTAACAAAGATGATTTCTTGGATGAAACTCTGCCGTTCCGCATCTTCACTGAACTAAGTGACACAAGATTTGGGTTTGATTTCTTTGATTTAGCGCGGTTGATTTGCATGAATTTGCTCTTTCTTTACTTTTTTTTTTTTTTTGGTTTGGCCGACAAAGTTTTCTTAGGGAGGGTAGGGAGGGCAGAATGCTGATGGCCTTAAGTAGGGGTGAATATAAAAAGGACCGGACCTGAAAACCGGCCTGAACCGGACCTGTTGGGACCGGACCTGATCCGGACCTGTAGATTCAGGTCCGCTCCTGGTCCTTGAAAATCAAGGTTTCCGGTTCCGGTCCGGATCAGGTCCAAAACCGGGGTTTTCAGGTCCGGACCTGAAACCCGGGAAATTGTGATTTTTTTTTTTCAAAAATCAAAACAACCCATCCCTGACTTTTCATCTCTAACCCTCATGCCTCAGTAACCCTAAGTTCCGTAACTCCCTCACTCTCTCTGCTCTCAGAGACTCTCGGCCGACACCCTCCCAGCAAGCCTTCCTCCCTCACGCTCTCAGGCGACCACCACGTCCACCAGACACTAGACGCCCACCGCCCTTCTGCACGCTGCATCAGCCACCGCTTGGCATTGTAAGTTTGTTTTGTTTTTTTTAATGTAAATCTAATTATATTCGGGTATTTTGTATTCGAAATAATAAATTTAGTGTGATTATATGATTATTCATGTTTCAATTGGTTATAATGATTGTTTGATGTTTGCATGTTGAATTTCTTTTTTCTTTTTTAGTTCATTTCTTTCAAATTCATGTTTTCTTTTTTTGTTTTTTATTTTTTTTTTTAGTTTAAGTAACTGTTTTCGATTTCATTTGTTTCGAATTCTTGTTGAATTTTGGTTTCTTTCGAATTGTGAGTTTAATTTCTGTTTTTTCTTTTTTTACTTTTGGGGTAGAGGTATTCGGGGCTGGCTAGGGGTGGAGTATCGTGTGGGTACTGATTGTGTTGTTTATGACAAAGATAAGGGAGTATGTACCGCAGTACTGATTGTATTGTTTATGCGTTGAGGCAGGGTGTAACACTTTTTCAACAAGAACAAGGAAAGTGAACTATATAATACGGAGTACTAAGTAATTTAAATTTGTGCGTTGAGGCAGGGTGTAATACATGAATTTTTGGTATGTCCATTGTGCCCTCCTAGTTCTTTGATTCATCTACATACATAATGTTGTGCTCTTGAAATGTCTTAAACTTGAACTTTTTCTTAGCAAAGAACAATCCCTCTGTATGGCTATATATACAGCGTTGTATTCCTCTTATCAATAATCAATACAATCACCTATTAATCCTATACTTTATTCATAATCTCCGATATGCATTAGTGTTGGTTTACTACTCTCTTGCTTCATTTACTGACATGTTTTTGTTTGCTCATTACTTGCTTCGTGTATACTTGATTAAATATTTAGAAATAGATACGCAGATGCTTTTTTGCCATTCATTTTCCATTCTTTATATGCCTACTTAGATTTGGTTTTGTTAGGAGTTTCTAGTACACTCTTACAGTCACTATCATATAATTTTCTGTTGGCAAATTGAATTTTACACCTTGATGATCCTGGACTCAAATTTTCCTTGTTATGCTCATTATTTTTCCCACTCTTTTTTGTTGGCGAGAGTGATTTTTATGCTGTTATTTTACCAATAAATGTTTTTGTATGTCATCAGTTGGCTGTTTTGTAATTAACTACTCTGTAATGCAGAGGATCTTGCATCTCTAAACATAAATGGCCTTTCTATTCTATATGGTATGATATACTTCATATATTTTTACTACTTGTTGGTAAATTGCTATTAGAAGATCGATACTTCTTGTAGTTTGGATGCCACCATAAGCTGCATTGGTTATTATCAGATACTAGGCTCATTGCTGCTCTTATCTGTTCATCTATTTCTGTTTATGCTGCTTCTATCATTGATACTTGTAAAACATTCAGTCTGGTCTCAGGGCGACTACTTGTAACTGCAAGTCTGCAACCAAGGCTGTTATGTACCCTTGCAGGCCTTGCCTAAGTGGCTGGCTAGTTGAGGGAGGAGGGAATCTGTGCTTTTTTCTCACTGTCAAGATTGACAGATTTTGACTACAGGATATGTTAACCTTGGCATGCTTGAAGATTATCATTAATGCTGCCAGTTCACACTACTAAACACTGGGCCAGTTCACACGAAGTTGTTTTTGTGGACTCATTAGTGTGAATCACGCAATCAAAGGGAAAATAACTCGTCAAAATTCAAGTTGTCTTTGGAGAATTTATGTATTTCTAGTATTTGACGCCTTAGAAACTTTATGTAATTTTATGAATTATTTGTTAATTTTACAAGGTTTGTATTTTTGGTGTTTGAAAATTGGGGCTTTATAGAATTTATGTAATTTTGTGATTGATAATTTGAGATTTTATGTAATTATTAAATTATGTAACAGGTCTAAAAATCACAAAACAGGTCCATATGCAGGTCCAATAGGTTATGTATTAATAATAAAAAAAAAACGAAAAAAATACAAATCAGGTCTGTTCAGGTCCAAACCCGGATTGGACCTGATTTTTCAGGTCTGACCCGGAACCGGACCTGTTGAATCAGGTCCGGTCTCCGGTCCTCAAAATCCCTTGATTCAGGTCCCGGTCCCAACAGATCCGGTCCAGGTCCGGTCCGGTTTTGGACTGGTGTACACCCCTAGCCTTAAGACCGTGTGGTAGTGACTAGCGAGAGTGACCATGTACGAGCAGGTGCTAAGGTGAGCGTCTCAAAGCTGAGTTTTTTGTTGGACACGCTAAGTAGGTGTCAATTTGGATGTTTAAGTCGGGTTCGCCGGTTCGGTGCAGTCGGAATAGATTTGTGGGAGTTTTTGTTGGGCATTCTAGCTTGATAGGTGTTAATTCGGGTGTCTTTGTTGAGTTCGGTGAAGTTATAGAGGGTTTTTTTTAGTCGGTTTAATATCGAGTTAGTTTTACATCTCTACATGCACATGATGAGAGTACCAAAAATCTTTGAACATCTATTATGATAATTTTTTATGATTGATTGAATCATGCCTCGAATTTGTGATATATTGTAGGTTAGTATTACACTAGTCGAATTTTTATGAATTTCACCAACTAATCTCCAATCCTAATCCAACCCTCTAATCCTCAATCTTTTATTCCCATAACCCACGTATCAAACTATATATATATATATATATATTGAAACCAAGGAAAAGTACCATAATCAATCAATGGAAAGCTTGTCCATAAGTACATACGGGGAGATGGACGGGGAATAATAATTTTCCCAAACTTGTTCATCTCCAAAAGGCACTAATCTAGCTAAGTTATGAGCAACAAAATTATCATCCCTTATTATATGAGACATGAAACAAATTTAAGATTGACTATTAATTTATATTTCTCTAAAGATTTCCGTATTATAGTTTTAATTTTAATACCGTTAATTTCAAAAACCAAAGATGAATTGAGAATTATCAAGTAGTTTATACATAGTATAAAGGAATGATTCTTAATTAAAATGGAATACTAGAATTGCATCTTAGGATTTCATAGGTCACACACCTTCTTCCCCTTCAAAAATCAAACGACAATATAGACTGTACTAAGGCAATTCCTCTAGCTTCCCGGGTTCGAGGACTGATCCATGAAAATGGGGTTTGATTTGGAAGAATTTCAACCCATTTTCGGCGAAGCAAAACCTGAGTTTGAAGCTTCTGCTACCTTTAATGGCGATGGAGTTCCGGCTTTGAACCCATTTTTGTTCAGGGTTTTTGCAGTTGACTCCTCTCACCTCGCTTTTCATGTCACTGATTTTCGTTCCTACACTTGGGAGGCTCTTCGCTCTGTTCACCAACTCGATGACATGGTATTGATTCTTTTTTCTTCCCTTTTATTTTTTCAGAATTAAAGCTGCAAAAATCCAAACTTGTGGAACTTTTCTGGGTATATTTCTAACACTTTTCTTTAATTAAACCCCAAAAAGTTTTTTTTTTTTTTTTTTAAAAATAACCTACTGTGATGAAATGGGGTTTAAGAAATGGGTTCTGATATCATGTCCTTGATCGTTGTATGTGAAATTTGGCATTTTTGGGGCATTTTTCAGAATTTTATATACCTGTTAATACTTGTGGAAGTTTTCTGGGTAAAATTACAGCTAATTTTTTGGATGAAACCCTAAAAACCCTGTTGTGATGAGGTGGGTTTAAGAAGTGGGTTCTATAATCATGTCCATTGATCATTGTATGTATAGTTGACAATTTTGGGGGTGTTTTTTCAGAATTACATATGCCTGTATATTTTTATGTTGTTCAAATGCTATAATTATAACACTGAAGTATAAGGATCACATTGCTCCATATAGTTTGTTGCGGTGTTGAATTAACCCTCTTAACCTATGATTATAGCTAGTTATATCATTTGTTGTTAGGCAAATTGATTCCAAAATGTATCGATTTTACCAGATATTGGCGAATTATCGATATAGTTTGTTAAGGGTTTTATATATAAGTAGTATACTTTTAGGGCTAGAAAATTGGCAATAAAATTTTTTGGTGGTACTATAAAGACAATGGTTATGAGTTGTACATAGTTTAGAAAAGACATTATGAGTTGGACATAGTTTAGAAAGACATTATGAGGTGGACTTTGGTGAATTAAGAAGGCAGTATCATAAAAATATACTAGTATAAGAAGATAGTATCAACAAAAGTACTCCGTGGAAGGGAAGCCTCGGTTATTTGGTTTTTTTCTGTGAATAAATTAAGGAAGCAATTTGTTATGACTTATGACTAAATTTGAGGTCGTAATCTGTCACTATTGTTTATTATTGTGTTTCTTGCAGATTTCACTGTTATGGGTAGGACTTTGGTTCAATATCCCACTTGTACATAATATGTCAGCTATAGGGAATTAGGAAATCCTAAAAATATTGTCACAATCGTTTTTAGATATTCTGTCCTTTCTAATCTGTACGACCTTTTGTCCTGCTGCGAGAGTAGAAAAGTTTATAGTATCTTATTTGAATATAGCACATGATAGAGGAATTTTTGGTAGTTTCTGCTCTAATTCCTCTAGGTAGTGTGAGATTCGACATATGAGTTTACGTGGATTAAAGTTTAATGCCTCTCATGATTTTTCACTGTTTCATTATTCATGCTAACTTGTTTTATCTATGTGCAGAGAGATAGCATAGGCATCAGTGGTTCCTGTTCCGACTTTATGAATTATGTAATTGCTTCTTTAAAATCAAAAGATGTGAAGCTTATTATGGATTGGCAGCCTAAATTAAGTGGTAATCCATCTCTACCCTTTTCTGTTTCACAAGAGAAATTTGTTTCAGCATGGCTCCTTTAATTTTCTTTTGTTATAAAGAAAAACTCAGTGAATTGCTGAAGCACTAACTTTTTTTTTTATTGAACCACCCATACTAATAAAGTAAAATGAATTCCTTCTGCTTTCTGTTCCTTTGATCCTTTTACACGCCTACACTTTCTCCTTTGTAAATGTTTATTGAATTGTGACTTACCAATTATTGTTCTCTTGATAATTTTTTTATTAGTCAAGTTTTGTGGATTGTGCCTTACCAATTTTCTTGGGATCTGAACTTATGATGCTGACAAGAACATGCTGTCTTTGTTACATCAGTAGCATTTTTCCAGGATGTTTCCATTTTTCATAAGATTGTTGCCGGGCTAGCTTGATTTGTTCCCCATAATTGACTGAATTTTCTAACTATGTGATTTATAATTATATTATCTATGTGTGATCCGACATCTGATTTATCCTCCATATCTGCTTCATACTTCTTACAACTTTTGATCTTGACTCAAGCTGCAAAAATATTGTCAATTTTGCTTCGTTGTAGGGGTTACATCTGCAAAGTTGATTGCTCGTAAAACTAAAGGAATGCCCTTAATATCTATTTCACTTACTAAGCTTGGACCTTCTTCTGCAAGTGGAGTTGTGGAAAATCTGTCGTTGGAGCTCTACAAGGCATACAATATCCTGCAAGATTCTTTTGTAAAAGGTTATTTCTGCTCCCATTTGCTATTTAATACATCTCAGAATTAAAACCTGAGGGATTATACTTCAGTTCAAGTCTACAGGCCAAGCCTTTTAACTTTAGTTAGTACTAACTATGTGGTGGTTTGTCGGAACTTTGAATTGGAATCAAATATGAACTTGTGAGACTAGAATTCTGAATCAAATTGAGGGGAAAGAAATTTGCTCCTGAAATTTGCAATGTCTAAGCAGTAAGCACGACTGGAAAGGTCCTTATTGAAGAAGCAAAGAAAAGACAGACATATAGTCATGAACATTTTTTGTATCTAGGTGCCTGACAAAGCTGCTTGAAGGTAGTTGGTGTTACCCATACCTGTAGGTTGAATGAGCATTGTTTTCTAATATTCTGAGTTGAGTTCCGCATTTTAAAAATTGTTTACTTCTATTGTGAGTTGAATTCCGCACTTGTATAGCTAGGAATTCAAATAACTTCTAACTGAACCACAGAGCCTCAACCCCCCCAAACCCCAAACAAAGGAGGATAGCCTTATAGGATTGGTGACGTAGTATCCATGAAAAAAATGGTAATATCTGCATATATAGTGATATTTCATCTTCCGTTTCTCCTTCTATCTTGATTTGTGAGAGTAAGTGTATCTTGCATCTAGTGTTTAAATGATTATTTCTTTTTCATTTTGATCCCAATTTCCCAAAAGTGTCTTCCTCGAGGCTGTTTGTAAATCTGGGAGATAGCTTTGCGCCTTTGTGAAACATTACCTCTGCTATACTTGGAAATCGGTAATTCTATATAGACCCTTGATTGGAGCATATAGATAAGTAGTACCGGACTACTAAAAGGAAGTGTGTAATAAAGATGGCATGTTTTATCAAGCTCATTGGAACTGATAGGTGTAACATTATTTTTTGGTTGAGAAGTATGCATTACAATGTTATATTGCTATGAGAATCTTGAATATTTTTTTTTGCTTTCATGTTTGCTTGTCAACTTCATGCTACACTTTTGTTCAACTGTCATTAAACAGTTGGTTTGAATGTTTATCCAGAGCAAGAGCGCTGCTGTCAATTGACCCAGATGATTTCTGCAGAAAAGGTATTTTAGTTTCTTTAGTATAACCAATAGTTCATAATATATCTTTTGCTGCATTATCTGCTTCTTAGGATTCCTGACTAGGTCATGGCACTCATTGGTCACGTTGTCATTGCTAATTTTTGGTTTCATTCATAGCTGCACTGAATGCTTATAGTCCATGTTAAAGGAAGATACCATAAATCCTGGATTTTGAAGGCTGTTGATAATTATTTTACTTTTCTTTTGCTGTATAGTCTTATTCAAGTTTCAAGCATTGCTTCTCATCCAGATTGTAATGTTCTTTGTGCCAATTGCTTACCTCAGTGGATGTGGATGAATTAACATTTGCATTGGCTGGCATCATATGTTGTGGGATCTGCATCAATCTCCCCCTTTTTTTATTCTTCTTTTTTTTTTTTTTCTTGGACCATCATATACTTTTCTCCTTCCCATATAGGAAAAGAGCCAAGCAATTAAGAGGAAGCTTGATATGATGCAGTCGGACCAACAAAGGCTACAGAAAACAACAGGGAGTGGGAATATAGTTTCTCCTATGTACTCTGACTCTTCATCTGTTACTGCTGCACTGAATTCCTCAGGTATGTAATTTTGATTAACTAATGTTTGTTTTGGAGAGGCTAGTATGATCCTTCCTGTAAAAGTGCAAAACATCTCTTAAAAACTACTTTGGAGTTGTTTGGTGAATATGCATTTCTTGATTATTCCATCATCTATTCCTTCGTCTTGATACTTTTTACTCCCCTAGACAAGCAAATTTTATTCCTATAATCCCATTTTATCTGAATCCTTTTCTTCTCTAAACCAAACATCCATGTGAATATAGTACTGAGTATTAACATGTTTCATTTGGAAAATTTTCATTTCTTTTGTGAATGTAATTTTTTGTTTGATTAGCAGACTCCTCCTTGCACAGTTGACTACATTACTGGGATTTTTTGTCTTCGATCATTTTCCTCTAGCCAAAAAACAAAAAAAAAAAAAAAAAAAAAAAAAAAGGAACCGCATGTCAAAACAAGGCTTTTCAGTTGTTACTTTGGCCTTTTATCTTTGGCTTCCTTTTTCTTGTACTAGGAGTTAGGTGCTTTTGGCCAAGTTTCTCACATTGCTTCACAACTTGAGAAAACAGACATTAGGCCAATTGTTGGGGTGGGTATGTGGGGCATATAATTTATGTTGTTTCTGCTTCTACAGAAGCCTAAAATTAGCTTTGGCAAAGGGGAAATTAGAAGCTCCAAATTTTAGCTCTTCAAACAACTTCACAGTAAGTTGTTTCACCATTTAATGAAATTTTTGCAGCAGACCATAATAAGTTAACCCTGCTCAAACTTACAAATGACTTTCTTTCTTACTCACTTTTCTTTTTTGAATGTTTCTTTTAATTTACACTCAACTTACTATTTTTGGAAATGGTATCTACCACTTTAACTTTCACAAATGATTATGTTTTAATTGTCACTTCGCATTTTACTTATTTTGCTTTCCCTACATCTAAATGCAACATAAATCTCACTCACAGAACTCAGTCACTCACCCCGCCACCATGGCACGCCATTAAGCGTTTACTCTCTTGCTCAAAGCTGGCGAATCTTTAGTAAATGAATAATGAGGAGCACCCAAAAGAAACTTTTTAATTTGAACCATGGAATATCATTTACTTAGCCCTCAATTATGTCGAATAATCTTAACTTGACAAGTATTTATTAAATCAGCCCAGATCTGTAGTTTGCTGTTGTAATTGTTACTTCTGCCTTGTAAATGCTTTGAAAACAAATTTGACTTCTTGTATTCTCTACTTCACCCCAGATAAACAGGCTGTTGCTGAAGGCAAATCTGCTAAAGTTGTTCATCGTGTTGTACCTGCATACCGCAGGTATGCTGTATTTGCCAACGTTGACCTTTTTGCTTTTTTTGTGCTTTACATTGCTGAAAATTTTAAGCTATCTTAATCAATGTCTTGTACTCCCTGCAGAGCCAAAAACAGAGGAGCTGTCCTTTGTGACACTGAAGAGGAAGAAAAGAGCTAATTGTTGTTTGGCGAATGAGGTTTTAGAAAATAGCAGTAGTGTTTTGTAGCTAAATTTTTTTTTTGTTACCGAAGCCTGATAACAAGAAGTTGGTCTTTTTGGGAGTTGAATGACGACGAATGTACAGTCTCTTGAAAGTATGACAACTTGCCTCTCCATATAAAGCTGTTTCCAGAGGAACAAAAAGAAGAAATACATTAGGATGTTTAGGTTCATGGAATGTGTTTATTGTTTAATTGGCTTTGTATATATGCTGATTGCACTTAATTCAGCTCTGTTAACAACTTGTCTTATCAAAGAACCGAAATGTGTATTCTTGTACTCAAAACTTCAAAAGGTACAAATTGATCTCTACATTACTTAGTATTAGGACTTAGGTGAAGCTTTGTAACAATTTGTATACTCTTTTTTTAGTTCAATCTTTGATGAATTCCTTGGGATGTAGTTTTCTTTCTTTCTTTCTTTTATTTTTGTTTTATTTATTTTATTTTATTTTATTTTTTATTTTTTTTAAATTTATTTTATTTATAAACAAAAATCATGTACCTATAGATAGCAATTGTAGTAAAAGGAAGGTGGTACAAATGAACCTCAACAAAATTGACCATAATAAACCAATAAGAGCTTGAAATGCAGGGATAACTTTCCCTTAATTGGAGTCTAACTCAATCAAATTCGAATTAGTTGTATTTATCCAACTCCACCACACAATCTCGCTCTTAAATCCATGGGTGTCACAATCTTGTGCCACATCATCATGGGTAGACATGAAAACCATCAAGTCTCAATATTTTATTACATGACCTCATGTAAATAACCGGTTATTCCTAAAACCTGAGTATTGCAAAATTTCCGCAAAATTTTCTCTCTTCATTATATTATTATTTTTACACTTTCTCTCTCCCATTAACCTACCCCAAAGGTTAACGGTTTTATATGCACTAAATTTTTTTGGAGAATTTATACTATCAATCAATAACTATATACTAAAGGCGTATAAAAAATGACACGTGGCAAAATCTGGTTAAATAATTCAAAAACACTTGCGTGGACCTGGTCCACAATAATATTATTGTGGACCCGAGGTCTATACACACGCAACTGACATTATATTGAATATAGTGACCATTATTTTTAACATAGTAACCTTATTTTTAACATAGTAACCTTATTTTTAACATAGTAACCTTTATTAAAACTACTACAACGTTTAATAATATTGTGAACTTGAAATACGACGCTATTATCCTAATTTTAGCATAGTGGCCTTTATTATTCATATTGATTAGTTTTATTACAAAAATATCCACTTAGGCCTATATATTACCAAAATGATTTTTATTTCAACATAGTGACCTTTTTTTAAAATTATAGTGACCTTTTTTTTGTTTATAAAACAACCATACTTTCTCTAATGTTAGTGGTCCACAATAAATTAGTGTGAACCAGGTCCATTTAAGAATTTATATAAATAATTTCCCTCCACTTTTTCTTTTCCTTTTTTTGTCAGATTATCTTAGGCAATTTTAATACACTATAATATTTTCTTTCTGTTTCGGGGTTTTTTGATGTGTCCTGCGGGAGAGTTACAATTCCAAGAATGCCCTTCGACGCCTGTGCCTGCAAAATCACGAAGACTCCTGGCGGTAGGAGCTCCGCCTCCGACGATCAAGTTAGTAAAGATACGGGAGGTAGAATGCACGTAATGTGGAAGTTACTTCTCGCGTAATGGGAGAATTCTGCAATTAATATTGCTCGGGGTAAGTGTTTTTCTTTTTGAGGAGTATTCAATGTGAACAACAAATGTTCCAACCCCCATTAATGAGGGTCCTTCCACTATTTATAGTGGGGAAGGGATGATTCCCCTTTTTGGGTTTTTAGAGGACACGTGTCAGCAGAGGATTGGAGCCCTGCTGACCAACGGCTGGATGCCACGTGTCACTAGGCCATTGGGCCACGTGTTTAGGGTATTTTTACCCCAAACATTTGCCCCTCACTGGTGCTGACGTGGCAGGGTGCCACGTGGCGCCGGTGAAAGGTTTTTTTTTTTTTTTTTTTTTACTCTTCAGATTCCTTTTGAAGGATGGAAAAGCAGAAGGCGAAGAGTCACGACTTTTCACCTTCTGGGACAAATTCTATAAATAGGAGAAGATGTCCCCCGAGCTCTCATTTACAAACTTTGCCAAATTTCTGAAGATTTGAGAGCAGCCGGCAATTTGAGAGTTGAGAGCATTCGGAGTTGAGATTCGTTGAGAGCAACCGGTCTACAGACCGTCTGGGTCGTTGCAAGCTAGCCAAAGGTTTTCGAGAGGGTAATCAGAGAAACCCAGCCGGATTTTGAACCGCCTGCGTCTTCGCAAGCATCCTAGAGAATTTCCAGATTTTCTTCTAGGTACCGTCTCTATTCTTTCTAGCTTTTTCATGTATTTCCGTTTGAGTCTTTTACTCGCATTTTTGTTCATTGGTCCCATAAGTAGATGGACCCCTTATACCCATACCCGGAACCTAGCTGTGAACTCAGCCGGTTTATTAGTACGGCTGAGTCTAGAACTGGGTCTGCCGCCTCTGTTCTTTGGGACAACCCTTTTTCAACACCCATATCGACCGACTCTGTGTCTGTGCAGGACACAATGGCCAGAATCCGGTCTACTGCCAGAGATCCCAACTACAGAAGTGGGAGCTCAGATGAGCAGCCGCCTGAGGTCCCAGCTTCAGGCGGTGAAGTAGAGCATGGAGAGGTAGAGCAGAGAGGCTCACCCGGGGGCGCTCCTAGCACCCCGGGTGATAGCATTTTAAACGAAGAGAGTGCTCCCCTCCAGGAGACCAGAGAGCAGGTAGGCTCTGATAAGGAGGTCTCCAACTCCCCAGCCGGCTCTGATGCCGGTCATGTTCAAAGTAGCAGTAGCAGCTACTTAACCGAATCTGAGGATAGCGAGGAGGCGGAGAGGCCTTCTTGGGATAATAGGAACGATCCTCTCATGATCGCCGTCTCCTCTAAGGACCGCGAGCTCATGCGGGCTGCGCTGCCAGATTTTATCAAACGGCGGCCGCTGGGGGGTGACTATACAATAAAAGTCCCGGCTGCTCTGGGAACAATATGGTGGGAGGATGGACAACCGAACGCGAACGCTTGGTTCGGGTGCTACGAGGCGGCCTTCGTGGCTGGAGTCCGCTTCCCTCTCCACGACACAATAAGAGCCATACTTAGGGGGTATGGCCTAGGTCTCTGGAAATTAACCCCCAACTCATGGGTAAATATTTTAGGGTATATCGCCGCCTGCGAGATGCAGGGCCTCAACCCCGGCTGGGAGGCGTTTGCCCACATGCATTACTTGAGTAGGAGCCCAGGCGGCTGGAGAGCCTGGTATACCTTGACCACCCAGCCCAAATACCTTATGACCTTGGACAAGCCATCCAAATGGTCGGACTGGAAGCACCGGTTCTACTTGGTTAAGGCCCCAACTACGGCAGAGAACAGAGAATTCCGGATCTACAACCGGAAACCAGAACTCTTGGGGACCAAGTGCTGCCTGCCCCCTGTCCCGGAGGATGATAGAGAGACCATCCTTGACTCCGGGTTTTTTGAGTTAGTTCCTGACACCCTCTCATCCGGAGAGATAGTAAGGGTACCTAGAAACTGGGTGCCCAAACATGAATTTTTGAGGGACGAATGCTTCTTGTCCGCTTGTGGTCTAAGCAGCATGTTTAAAAAACGTATGTATTCGGAACTCAGCCGGTTTCTTTCGAACCGGATGCTTTTATTTCCTTGCTTATTTATTATTCTAACCGTGTGCCTTCCTCTGCAGAAGAAGCCAAGAGAATGCTGCCCACCGAGAAGACACCGGCTAGGTCGGCTGCCGACATCCGGAAAGCCAATCTCGAGAAAAAACTTGCTGCCCAGGCGGCGAAGAAGGTATTACCGTCTGATCCTTCTCGTTTATGTCAATCCTTTTATCCCATAACTTATATTTTTCTCGTTTACAGGACGGGAAGCAGATGCCCCGGTCCCTTCAAAAACAGGTCAGGCCTCCGCCGACCCAACACGAGTCTGCATCCAAGGTGCAGAAGACAGCCGACCGGCAAACTACCGGCGGCAAATCAATAAGGGTCCCAGACGGGCCTGGATCTGCGGATGTGCTTTCTGCCATCCCATTGAGGACCGCAACCGGTCCCTCTGAAGGCCGTTCGGGCCGCCAAGGTAACTTCGACCTTACACTGCTTGATCTGCCCATGCGGGTCAAGTCTTATTCACAGTCTCGATCGCAGCCGGGGGATTCTCCAATCAGCCGGCAATCTATAGGCAGAGCATATGCGAGTTTCTCACCGTCTGTTTCTGGTGTAGATAATTCTCCCCGCTGGCCGGACGGGGCACAATATGCCCGGGCCATGCTGAAAGCCGTCCCCAGGGACGAGAAGGAGGCGATCCCTGGGATCAACTCCTTTAATGCCGACCGGGTGCTGGTCGACCTGGCCGACGTATGCTCCAACAACCATGCGGTAATTTTCTTGACGTGCATTTTTAAGTATGCAGTATTAACCGGCTGTATTTTTGCAGGCTATGCTGCGCGTAGAGGGGCTCAAACGAGCTTATACCCGCAAGTCTGAGGAGGTAAGGAGAAGCAAACGGGCTGTTGATGACGCCCATAATGTTGCTGACTACTCTTTGTACATGCATGGCTTAGAATCTAAATCTATACGCATGGAACAGGCGGAGAAGACCAAAGCCCTCCAACAGCAGATTGATCAGCTGAAAAACCAAGTTGACCAACTGCAGGCGTCCCTGGATGATGCCAATAAAAAGTTGGAGGAACAGACAGAGCCCCTCCAACGGCTGAGCAAGGCGGAGACTGAAAATGGCCGCCTTGCCAAAGAGAATGAGCGCCTGCGCAAAGAGGCGGCTGCTGCCAATGAGAACTTCAAGGCCACCTTGGAGTCGGAGCAGGAGAGGCTCATTGAAGAGAATGAGCATGACTGTGCAAACCGTATGCAACGGGCGTTTTCCCTCATCCACCCGGAGGCGGACTTCACCGTCTGGGAACTCGCCTTCAAATATTCTGATCTTGCCATTCTGGCCGAGGAGGCGAATGAGCCGGGGCCCGGACCCTATGACGCTTGGGTTAGGGAGGAGATTGCGCGACGGCAGGCGGAGGCTGCTGAAGAGGAAGAAGTCGTTCCTGAAGCCGACGCAGCCGCTCACCCTGATCCAACCCAGAACCAACCGGAATAGGACCGGCTCACTGTTCGCCTGGAGTAGCAACTACTTCCCGGCCTGCGTGCCTAGCATTATCTTGTAATAGCGCCGGATGAGATGGGCTAAGCTGTAATAATTTTTATTTTGAATATAAACATTTTCACCGGCTGAGCCGGCTTTTGAATGCTTTTTATGTTTCTGCACTTCAATATTAGAATTCTTGTTATTTTTTATACATATTTCTGCGAGGATA